CCAGCCTGGGAACAAGAGCAAAACACCGTCTCAAAAAAAAAAAAAAAAGGCCGGGCGGGGTCGCTCACACCTATAATCCCAGCACTTTGGGAGCGTGAGGCAGGTGGATCACCTGAGGTCAGGAGTTTGAGACCAACTTGGCCAACATGGTAAAACCTCGTCTCTACGAAAAATGTGTGGTGGCTCCCGCCTGTATGCCTGTAGTCCCAGCTACTCGGGAGGCTGAGGCAGAAGAATTGCTTGAATGCAGGAGACGGAGGTTGCAGTGAGCCAAGATTGTGATACTGCACTCCAGTCTGGGCAAGAAAGCAAGACTCTTTCTCAAAAAAAAAAGAAAAAAAAGAGGCAAGCTAAAGTCCTACCTATGGACTGGACATGGTGGCCTCACGCCTGTAATCCCAGTGTTTTGGGAGGCTAAGGTAGGAGGATCAATTGAGCCCAGGAGGTCATGACCAGCCCAGGCAACACAGCAAGGCACTCTCTCTACCAAAAATAAAAAAAACATTCCAGGCTATGAATACATTATTCTTGAAACCTCTGATACCAGCCGTAACAACCTGGCCTTGCTGGCTTTGGTCAGCGGTCATAGCAGCTGACAAAAGTATTTTGTCCACTAGAGGGAACCCAGCTTATCACATTGTTCCCTAAACAAACAGAAGCACAGCAGTGAACAAAATAGGAAAGAGAAACCTTTGTGTAAGTGTAGGGGGTGTGTGTGTTGCATGCAGGGGAAAAGAAGGCAGGAAAATTTAATAAAACTGCAGAGCTAGACTTTCTGCCTCTAGGTCACCTTAATATATTTGTATGAAGAAAGAAAACTGAACGCATTTCAAAGCATTTCATTTCCCTGTGCAAGATAAATAAAAAAGCAATATTCTATTTCAGCTAGTCTAAAAAAAATCTTCTATTTATATAGAAGTCTTTAAGATTTCTCTGTATCTTACTAAAAATAGTCTATTTCCTTATGGGTCAGAGCCAGTAGGCTTTGTTCATCACAAATGTTATCTGTACCTAGAAGTAACTACCTCCTAGGCACAAAGCAAAATTCATTATTGGAAAGTCTAAGAAATGTTTAAAAGTTCATTAACTCAATGCTCAGAAGAAACACAGGTAAAGCTTTTAAGGCACCTGTGAAGCAGAAACTCTCATTAACTGTCAAGTGGTTTTTGAAATAAGGACAAATCAAGCTTATTTTTAAACCATTCCTTTAATTACAAAATAATAAAAGATCATTGTGAAATTTCAGAAAATGCAAATAAGCTTAGAAAAAAATGTTTTGTTTGTTTGTTTGTCTTTTGAGACAAGAGTCTCCTTCTGTTACCCAGAATGGAGTGCAGTGGTATGATTTCGGCTCACTGCAACCTCTGCCTCCCAGATTCAAGCGATTCTCCTGCTTCAGTCTCCCAAGTAGCTGGGATTACAGGTGCCAGCCAACACACCCAGCTATTTTTTGTATTTTTAGTAGAGACAGGGTTTCACCATGTTGGTCAGACTGGTCTTGAACTCCTGACCTCAAGTGATCCACCTGTCTCAGCCTCTCAAAGTCCTGGGATTACATCCGTGAGCCATTACATCCAGCCAGAAAGTTTTTCTTTTTTTTTTTTTTTTGAGACAGAGTTTCCCTCTTGTTGCCCAGGCTGGAGCGCAGTGGTGTGATCTCGGCTCACTGCAACCTCCACCTCCCGGGTTCAAGTGAGTCTCCTGCCTCAGCCTCCTGAGTAGCTGGGATTACAGGCATGTGCCACCACGACCAGCTAATTTTGTATTTTTAGTAGAGACGGGGTTTCTCCATGTTGGCCAGGCTGGTCTAAAACTCCCGACCTCAGGTGATCCACCTGCCTCAGCCTCCCAAAGTGCTGGGATTACAGGCGTGAGCCAATGCGCGTGGCCTTTTTTTTTTTTTTTAAAGACAGAGTCTCTCTCTGTCCTCCAGGCTGGAGTAGCGTGGCATGATCTTGGCTCGTCGCAACCTCCACCTCCCTGATTCAAGCAATTCTCCTGCCTTAGACTCCCGAGTAGCTGGGATTACAGGCATACACCACCAAGCCAGGCTAATTTTTGTATTTTTAGTAGAGACAGGATTTCCCCATGTTGGCCAGGCTGGTCTCAAACTCGACTTCAGGTGATCCACTGGCCTTGGCCTCCCAAAGCCCTGGGATTACAGGTGTGAGACACCGCGCCCAGCCCAGAAAGTTTATAAAATCACTTTTAACCCTATCGTCCAGAAGTAACTACTACATGTATCTTTCTGGTTTTATCTATGCATATAATCATCTATATTTTAATATATATAAATTAAATCTTTTAAACTATTTTCATTTCACATCTCTCTATATAAATACATACATTTTAACATACAAATATACACATTCATATATATATTGAGACAGGGTCTTGCTCTGTTGCCCAGGCTGGAATGCAGTGGTGCTATCATGGCTCACTGCAGCCTCAAACTCCTGAACTCAAGTGACCCTCTTGCCTCGGCCTCCTGAGCAGCTAGAAGTGTGCACCACCACACCCAGCTATTTTTATTTTTATTTTTGAGATGGAGTCTCACTATATCGCCGACTGGTCTTGAATTCCTGAGCTCCAGTGGTCCTCTGACCTTGGCCTCCCAAAGTGCTGGGATTACAGATGTGATCATGCCTGGCCACATTTATAAATTTTTTAATGGTTATATTTCATTGAATGTACTGCACCATAAATGACTTATGTTTTATTTTTTAAATTTATGTATTTCATTTATTTATTTTTTTGAGATGGAGTGTCACTCTGTCACCCAGACTGGAGTGCAGTGACACAATCTCGGCTCACTGCAACCTCCACCTCCTGGGTCCAAGCGATTCTCCTGCCTCAGCCTCCCAAGTAGATGGGATTACAGGCGTGTACCACCATGCCCGGTTAACTTTTGTATTTTAGTAGAGATGGAGTTTCACCATGTTGGCCAGGCGGGTCTCAAACTCCTGGCCTCAAGTGAGCCACCCACCTCAACCTCCCAAAGTGCTTGGGATTATAGGCCTGAGCCACCACGTCCAGCTTTACATTTAAAAAAAATTTTTTAAACATTCTCTACTGTTGATTTTTTAATTTAGATTGCTTCCAATGAAAGGCCCTTTAAGGGCTCCTCTCATCCTATGTGACATTGCCCCAAAACCGGCGCTGACACTTCCTCAGAAAAGCCTTCCCTACAAAACACCAAGTACACAGCCTAGAAAAAAACTCAGTCAATTCTGGCTCAAGTGCTTCCACCTCAGGCACCCCGTGACTCTCTCTTCCAGTTTCTCATGGGTCTGCGGCCTCCTCCATCTAGTGTTCGGACCGAGGCTCACAGAAATCCCCCATTTTTTCTTTCTTCTCTCACACCTGACTTTCCCATTGTGTAGGAGTGAAGGGAAAACTTTCCAAATATCCTGATTATGTAGGAGTGAAGGGAAAACGTCCCAAACTATCCCCAGGCCCCCGAGCTGGTATTTCTAAAACACACAGGGCTGGATGTTGTGGCTCACGCCTGTTATCCCAGCACTTTGGGAGGCCGAGGCGGGTGGATCACCTGAAGTCAGTAGTTCAAGACCAGCCTGGTCAATATGGTGAAAGCCTGCTTCTACTAAAAATACAAAAATTAGCCGGGCATGGTGGTGGGTGCCTGTAATCCCAGCTACTCAGGAGGCTGAGGCAGGAGAATCACTTGAACCCGGGAAGTGGAGGCTGCAGTGAGCTGAGATTGTGCCACTGCACCCCAGCCTGGGTGACAGAGTGAAACTCTGTCTCAAAAAAAAAACAAACAAACAAAAAAAAAAACCACATGAGCCTTTCTTTGACAATTAAATTCCTGTTACTGCAGAAACTGTGTCCAACTCTCCTTCCAGTGCTGGAAGCAGCCAGGCTTGCAGTGGCATCCCGATGATCAAAACAATGCACTTGCCTCTCCCTCAGAAAGCATCCTACGTACCACAAGGGTTAATGGCCTAATTCTTTATTATCTTCCCCATCCACATTCATCACAAGACACCCTGCCCAGGAAGGCAAGAATGAGAGGTTATTGTTAAGACAGAATGAATGAGACAATGTCCAGTTCTGTTCTTCTGACCTGACAATGTGACCAAGGCAGGGGCTCTGTGACCAGAGAGGGGCCCCGGCTAGCCTCTGTGTGTCCCAGCACAGCTGCCTCCTTGTGCTGTGGAGGAACGAACCTGGCTCAGAAGTCTCTCATCCCAGATGCCTCGCCCTCAGGAGCACCAGAGGAAGCTGAGAAATTCGAGATGCTGCCTAGAGCCCATGCTGCCTCTCAGCGGATCTCTTAGATCCAATTCCTGGCTGCCCTTTCTTATTCCAGGTATCCCTAGGACTGGAGTCATGATCAGTCTTTTCTTCTTTAATATATAAATAGTGATGAGTGTCTGGGAATGAGGTGCCAGATCAAGAATGCCATCGGTACAAGGATCTTGGGAAGAAGCTCAGTTGCTTGGATCTCTAATCATCAAACAGGTGTAGGAAAACTGAGAGTCATGGCATTTGTATGCCACGCCAGTAACACGTCCAGTCCCATCAAGAGCTGCACGGTCCCTCCAAGTACCGGGAGCAGGGAGGTACTTCTACAGAGGTGCGTAGGAAAGGCAAAGGCATTTTTGTTCACTGGACGGGCACGTGCTTCCCCACAGAAGCTGTTCAAATGCATACTGTACTTTCTGGCAAAATCATGTCTCTCAGAGTTGATGATTAAGACTTTTCTCAAAGACCAGAGTCAAGAGTCAAAAGAAAAGACCACAGAAGAAACCAGAATCCTTCTCTTGGAAGTTCAAAGTCTTGTTCTACCCACCAGCTTACATTAGGTTTCTAAAGTGGAGGAGTTTCAGGAAGTTGCCGGAGGTCATGAGAAGAGCAAGGATTTCTTTGTGGCACTCTGTTTTTTTCCATTCCAAACAAATAAAACAGAAACAAAACAAAACCCCAAACTCAAAATATTTCAGAGAACACCCCAGATTTCCCAAAGCCAGACTCACTCTGTAGCCACTATCTGGGGGATGGGTTCATCTAGCAGTTCCAAGCTGTGCAGGATCCAATAGCAGAGCCATGGGCGGCTGGCATCCAGACACTGGGAGAGAGACAGGAGAGAAAACATCCCTTATTCACAATCACTCCAAGACACTGCTGCCAAGGCCGTATCTGTCTCACTCCCAGCAGCCTGGCAAGGGGGAGGAGGGCACCCTTGCTCAAACAACAATCAGTGAATAAAGGACACTTTGCTTTGTGGCCTTAGCCAGGAGCTGAAATGACCATCTGTTAAAAAAAAAAAAAAAGATAACAGGGCCAGGCGCGGTGGTTCATGCCTGCAATTCCAGCACTTTGGGAGGCCAAGGTGGGGGGGATCATTTAAGGTCAGGAGTTCAAGACCAGCCTGGCCAACATGGCAAAACCCTGTCTCTATTAAAAATACAAAAATTAGCTGGGCATGGTGATGTGCGCCTGTAATCCCAGCTACTTGGGAGGCTGAGGCAGGAGAATCACTTGAACCCAGGAGGCAGAGGTTGCAATGAGCCAAGATCGCACTACTGCACTCCAGCCTGGGCGACAGAGCGAGACTCCGTCTCAAAAAAAAAAAAAAAAAGAAAAAAAAAAAGAAGAAAAGAAAAGAAAAAAAAGACAACAGGATTAAAAAGAAAAGGTGACCCTGAACCCAGTGGATCCCTCCCTGGCAAGCATCTAAGGAAGGCTGAGCAGAGGACTTCCTACAGGCCAGGAGGTTAGGGGCTGCTATTTTCTCAGTGTAGAACCAAGGAGATATATACTCTCTGAAGAGATTTTCTGGCTTAATTCAACCACTGATTCAACAAATATTTGATAGTATCTACTTGTGCCAAGCACTGTATTAGACACTGGGGGCATGATAATAAAATTTGGTTTCTACTCTTTATTTTTTTGAGACAGGGTCTCGCTCTGTCACCCAGGCTAGAGTGCAATGGTATGATCTCAGCTCACTGCAGCCTCAACCTCCCGGGCTCAAGCAATCCTCCTGCCTCAGCCTCCTAAGTAGCTGGGACTAGGGGCACACACCACCATGCCTGGCTAATTTTTTAAGTTTTTACAGAGACACGGTCCCACTATGTTGCCCAGGCTGGTCTTGAACTCCTGGGCTGAAGCAATTCACCTGCCTGAGCCTCCCAAAGTGCTGAGATTACAGGCATGAGCCACCATGCCCGACCTGGTTTCTGTTCTTGAGATGCTTGGGATATAGAATGCCTGTGGTTACCTGTAGGGGAAGAGAGCACCGGACAGACATATAAGTTACCTCATGTCTTTCTGGAACCAACATGTGTACATATACCTGGAGAAATGCTATAATGGGCAAAAACAGAGTTTTGAAGGAGCGCATGGAAGAGACTAATTCTGCCTGGGGAGCTAGGAAAGGCTTCCAAAGGTGACATGCAGACAGCTCTTGATCATAATCAAACCACAAATGATTATTGAGCATTCAAGGCTAGGCAGGGTAGGTAGGAGTACTGCCCCAGTTTTATAAATTAAAATATATAAATGAGGTCCAGAGATTAACCTTTTTCAGATTATAAAAATAGTAAATGTCAGAGCTGAGACAAGAACCTAGGTTTTTAGACTCAATCTAGTGTTCTTTCCATTGGCCCAAGCTGCCCTCTTCAAAACTGTGCTGATATCCCAAGCTGTGGCTAACCCGCCACCTGGAAGGCTGGCTGCTGGGCTACTGAAGACACTGCCAGGGATGCAGCCTAAGTTTGAATCCCAGCTCTTCACCTTACTAGCTATGTGCCATTGAGCAAATGACTTAATTTTGCTATGCCCATTTCATTATCTGCAAAAAACAAAAGAATGATCTACCTCACAGAGTTATAAGATTTAAATAAGAGAATGCAGCTGGGCGCAGTAGCTCACGCGTGTAACCTCAGAACCTCGGGAGGCTGAGGCAGGTGGATCACTTGAAGTCAGGAGTTCGAGACCAGCCTGGCCAACATGGTGAAACCCCATCTCTACTAAAAATACAAAAATTAGCCAGGTGTGATGGTGCACACCTGTAATCCTGGTCACTCAGGAGGCTGAGGCAGGAGAATTGTTTGAACCTGAGGCGGAGGTTGCAGTGAGCCAAGATCATGCCACTGCACTCCAGCCTGGGAAATAGAGCAAGACTCCATCTCATAAATAAATAATGAGAGAATGCATGGTAAGCTTTCAGCGGCACACTGTTCAATAAATTGTTAGCTGACATTGGTACCAACTGTATCATAACTATTGAGGACTTGAGTTAAGGATTGAAAACTGATAGCCGACAGGCCAAATCTAGCCCATGGATGTGTATTGTTTAATTGGAAGTAGCTGCAACATTTGTCAGGAGAGTCACATGAAAACGTGGATTTCCAGCTTCATTTGGGGGGGGGGCGGGAAGATGATCAGGCAACCCTGGGTCTGCATTCCTGGATGGCAGCAATAGGCAGGAACAGAGTAAAGGCACGGGGCCTCCAGTTAGCCTCAGTCTCCATGCAGCCCACTTCACTGATTTATGCTGCCTGCCTGGGCCCCACAGGCATTTGAGTTGGCAAATCATTACCAGAAATAATCAAATGTGGAACCCAAATAAAAAACAGATTAAAAACAGAGACGCTGCTCTGTGTCAAGCAGGGCAGAAAGATTGGAGCCTTCCTGTTCACATTCACCCTTTGCCTGCCACTCAATCCATCCAACATCTGTCCCTCTCCACCGCCACCCAGCCCTGAGGTTGCTCTGGGAAATATTTAAGATCTACTCTTAAATAGTAAGTGTTAAATTGCAAGGGCCACTCTCTATACTGGCTCTCTAGTCAGTATAGAAATTAGATCTTATGGCTGGGCACGGTGGCTCAAGCCTGTAATCCCAGCACTTTGGGAGGCCGAGATGGGCGGATCGCGAGGTCAGGAGATCGAGACCATCCTGGCTAACACGGTGAAACGCCGTCTCTACTAAAACATACAAAAAACTAGCCGGGCAAGGTGGCGGGCACCTGTAGTCCCAGCTACGTGGGAGGCTGAGGCAGGAGAATAGCGTGAACCTGGGAGGCGGAGCTTGCAGTGAGCTGAGATCCGGCCACTGCACTCTAGCCTGGGTGACAAAGCGAGACTCCGTCTCAAAAAAAAAAAAAGAAATTAGATCTTATTATAAGAAAGGGTTTTTGTCTCTTTAATGAAGATATGAAAAGTAATGTACTAGAAGAAGTGGTGAAGTTGGAAAATTTGTAACCACCATGATACAGACCTAACAGGTTTGGACAATACTCCTCAACAAATGAGCAAGAAATTAGATCAGCTTATAGGGCAAAGGGTTAAGGGTGAACAGGTAACTGGCTTTTAGCCAGCTGTCAAGGGGGTCTAGATAAAGCACGCAAACCCCTCACTCATCATCTAGTAACAGAAGAAAGCCCCACCCTATCTAGGGTGCTCCCCTCACTCTGGAAGAAACTGGGTTCTGCCCTTTCAGGGCTAGAGTCCCAGCCCTGTGACAGCACTCTACCTCCTGCCAGAGACACAGAGAACAAAGAGTGACTCTGCAACAAGTCAGCCCCAACAGTCTTTTATGTTTAAATAGAAAAAGGAGGAAGAGGCCGGGCGCGGTGGCTCAAGCCTGTAATCCCAGCACTTTGGGAGGCCGAGGCGGGCGGATCACAAGGTCAGGAGATCGAGACCACAGTGAAACCCCGTCTCTACTAAAAATACAAAAAATTAGCCGGACGCGGTGGCGGGCGCCTGTAGTCCCAGCTACTCAGGAGGCTGAGGCAGGAGAATGGCGGGAACCCGGGAGGCGGAGCTTGCAGTGAGCCGAGATCCGGCCACTGCACTCCAGCCTGGGCAACAGCGTGAGACTCCGTCTCAAAAAAAAAAAAAAAAAAAGAAAAAGGAGGAAGACTTGGCGGACAATATGACAGCAAGAGTTCCTGGGTAATGTGTTTACCTCATAGGCGTCTGTGAGTTGTCGAAGGCCTCTTTTCAGATAATGGAAGTGCTTCTCCCTCTGCAAAATAAGCCTGGAAAGACAAACAGCTTATAAGCCCATTCTAATAGCTTATGCTTCCACCACACGCACGTGTACGCACATACACACACACAGGTACACACTCAGCTTCAGGACGTCCCTCTGCAGTCACTGATTGGATAACCAGCAACTTCTCTGGTTCCAAAGAGCAACTAAACCCGAGAAAAGAAGCTCTTGTCTGAATGTCTCTAAAGCATCTGAAAACCACGCCAGCTGCCATTTTGAGTGAGATTTTGGTCTCCTAAAGGCAGTGACTTTGGGCTAACGGAAAAGCCACAATGCGCACACGCAGCCAGGCATGGCTGACAGTCCACCCAGAAACTTCCTCCAGCATCTAAGAACAGATATCTTTGCGGCTCCCCATCCTGTAAGCAATTTAAATCTGAGTCTCGCCACGTCCCTGCCTCAGCCGCTGTCATTTCAGTCACCCCTTCTGGGATGACTTCTTCAAGGTCTATAGTGTGTGCCCTGCCTGCCTCTCAGTTATCCATCTATTATTCCCTCCCTGAAATTCCACCTCCCACGTGTGACCCACAGCCCTGGCCAGAGGACCGTGTTCTGCAGCCAGTCGCTGTCCTTGGCTCTGAAGTCAACAATACTGGCTTTAAGATGGAATGTGCCGCCCATGGCCACCTGCACAGGCCGGGCAAAGCATGGAGGCTGCACTTCTTTCTTGGTCTGGCAGAAGGAGCCTGTGTGACTAGAGAAGGAAGGAAAAAGCACAGATTGTCAAGATGTTCCCTGCGCTTGCGGATTACAGAAACAAAGGAAACAGAGCCATTCCCTTTGCTAGGTAGTCAATTCTACAATTGTTTATCAAACTCCCACTGTACTCGGCTCAGAATAAGAGCCTTCATGTAGTCTTTTTTTTTTCCTGAGACGGAGTCTTGCTCTGTCACCCAGGCTGGAGTGCAGTGGTGTGATTTCAGCTCACTGCAACCTCCACCTCCCAGGTTCAAGCGATTCTCCTGCCCCAGCCTCCTGAGTAGCTGGGACTATAGGCATATGCCACCACGTCTAGCTCATTTTTGTATTTTTAGTAGCGACAGGGTTTTGCCATGTTGGCCAGGCTGGTCTCGAATTCCTGACCTCAGGTGATCCACCCGCCTCGGTCTCCCAAAGTGCTGGGATTACAGGCATGAGCCACTGCACCCGACCCTTCATGTAGTCTTTACTTCAAAAACTTTCAATTCAGAAACGAGGTAAGTATATCAATGGCTACAAGGAAAGAATGGGTAGATTTTGTAAGGGAAACACATAAAATACTACTGGAGGCTCAAAAGAGAGGGGACATCTCATGAAGAAAGGAATGATCAGGAAAGTTTGTGTGAAAAAGGAGGAATGTGCGATGAGCGGCCCTGGCAGAAGGAGAACATTTTAATTCAACTTTAAATAGCTGCAGGTAGCTAATAACTGTTATGCAGCACAGGTATAAAGCGCGTAAGAGGAGTGACAGGTGGGAGAATCTGGCCTCAATACAGGGATGAAAGAGGAATGGGAGAAAAGCAGCTGGGACCCTTTTTCTTTTTTTTAAACAAGAATCTGGGATGCTGACTGAGGTATTTCTACTCAATTTACTAGGCAAAGGGAAGTCCTGAAGGTATTTGAGATGAGAAAAGAAATGATCAGAACTGCACTTTAGAAAAACAGTAGGTACTGAGTATGTGTCTACAAACTGAAGTAACTGAAAACACTGCAGTGGGCAGAGAGATGGGGTGGGGAGGCAGGGTTAGAAGCGCTAAGGAGCTGACACAGTTGGGGCTACTTAGGGCCCAAACTAGCGTGTGACCCATGGTCAGCTGACTTTCGGATGTGTGGGTTTTAGGATGCTGGAAGTGCATTCAGGTGGGGATGTCAATCAGGCTGCTGGACACCCACATGGGGCTCAGGAGAGGGATCCAGGTTACACACACAGACTGGGAAGCATTTATCTGCATGGAAGTGACAGGTGAAGCCACAGAAGATGAGAGGGCAGAGATAAAAGTTTGAAAACAAAACTGTGGGAAGACCCATCTCTAAGGGTTTAGAGGAGAACGAAGAGCCAGTGAAGGAGAGAAACAGCAGAGTTTACATATGCTGGGGAAGAGCAAAGGAAGTGTCATGTCACAGGCCATCAGGGAGGACAGAATTTCAGGAAGGTGTTTAACAGTGGCAGACGCTGCAGCAAGACTGAGGGAAAAGACAGCAAACCAGAGAAGGGCCGGAGACCTCCAAGAACATTCAGAGCAGAGGTGAACGCAAACTGTAAACAAGAGAAGGCTAGACTCAGTTTCTCTTTCAGGAAAGTCCACTCAGGATGCAGGGAGCACTCATCTGTGTGGGCAGGGTGTCCAGCACTGGGGTAGAGGCTGCTCTGTCCCCTAGAGCGACAGTCCAGAGGTGGACACAGATGTGAAAATGACAAGTAGAGCCCTGTCCAATAAACACTGTGATCAGCTATGAGAAGAGATGGAGAGTCAGAAAACTCTTTCCAAAGGGAACAGCATTGAGGCTAAGGCTGGAAGGACATGAGTTAAACAGGCAAAATGAAGAAAACATCATGACACATTTAAGTTAGTTTAGTTCCGCTGGATCAAAAGTACAAGGCAGTAAGCAGAGAAATTCCACACTAAAAATGCAAAAGCCCAGAGGAAATCCATCAGGGAAGGTCCGTAAAGAGGACGGAGGAGGGCTGGGATGAGAGTATAGTAGGAGAGGTGAGCCTGGAAGAAGGAAGGATTCTACATTCTTGGAGCAAGAAATGATGGGTTCGAAGCTAGCGAAATACAGGACTCTGATGTGGGAAGGAGGAAACAGGAAATTCAGATGGGTCAACCTCGATTTTCTCAGGAACTAGGAGTCAAGATGGTGGGAGAGCTGTGGAATGGCCACAACGGTGGGTATGTTAGGGAATCTACATGAGACGAATAAAAGGATTATAAGGCAGTTAGCGAAGGGCCAGTGAAATTAAGAAGTGTAACATGTTGGTGAAGCCAGTCAGCAGCCTCAGGAGAAACCAAGCCTGCTGACACCTTGGTCTTAGACTTCTGGCCTCCAGAACTGTGAGAAAATAAATCTCTGTGGTTTACTGTGCCCCATCTGTGATACTGTGTTATGGCAGCTCAAGCTAATACCCTCTCCGGTCCTTCATTCTCAACTCACCTCTATCCAAAAATCTTTTCTGTGTAGGAAGTTAAGAAAAGATAGAGCTCTTCCTATTTTTACCTGAACAATTCAGCCCCAAAACCATTCAATTACATGGAGCAGAATAAGAGAGGCTTCATGCAGGACTTGAGGGGGTGCAGGGTTGGACGCAGGGTGTCAGCTCAAGTAGATGAGGAGGGCCCCCGTGTCACTGTGCAGAGGGTGACAGGAGAGCAAGTGGGTAAATCTATTAAGGCTACAGGAAGTCAGGTTTCCACTGTCTGAGAAGGAACTTGCACATCTGTGTGTACTGGGTAATGATTTAAATAGTATTTCTTATGAGGGGTGAGCCCACTGGGCTTCCAGACTCTTCACAATGTGCCTCCACCCACATTACTCTCCAACCTCATCTCCACCCCTGAGCTCTGGTCATGCTGCCTTCTTTGAGCTCCGTTCCTGGCTTTACCACATGCTGTTCCCTCTGCCTGGAACACTCTCCCCATCCTTTAAGTTAGCCACCCCTATTCCACCTACAGATTCAGCTTAAATGTCACTTTCTCTAAGAAGCCTTCCCCAACTTCCCAATCCAAATTAGATTCTCCCAGTGATTCTCTCTCTCAAACTATCCCATTGGTAACTGTGTATTTGTGTTCATTTGTTTAATATCCACCTCCCCCACTAGACTAAGAGCCCAGCAGGGGCAGGCCCAGGGCTAGCCTTGCTCATGCTGGCTTCCCTCAGCCCAGCAGAGTGTCCTGTCCTTTGGAGACTCTCTAGATACTGATGCTGAAAGGATCACATAAAGGCAGCAGAATGGAATGACAGCAAAGCCACTTCCTCCCTGCAAACCTGGGCCATCCTGGGAAACATACATTTGATTGTGACAGATGAGAGGACAGGAGATTCAGTCCATTGTTAGTTCCTGGGGACTTTCTAAACTCACTAAAGCCAGGGGCCTCTCTAGTCAAAAAATAAGCACCTGGCATGTAAGTAATAAAGCAATTGAGGAAAGGTGAATTTATTTGTAAGACCTTGGAAAGAACAATAATAAGAAGAGAATACATCCTCTACCTGCTCAGGATCTGGGAACTTCTAAAATTGTATCACATACAGGAATGGCAGAAAACCCGGGAGCTAAGCAGGTGCCTGTGAGAGACCTGCCTTGAGAACTTTAACTCAGAGTATTCTGGCTTCAGAGCCATTGCCAGCACTTAACCTCCAGGGCTCTATTAGCACAGGGACATTATCAATATTTCTCACTTCTGAGGAGCACCAGGCTCCTGTGCCCAGGAGAAAACAAATTTAAAATTACATGTGAGATAGGTATCTGTGTAGTTTATGCATTTCAGGTTTCTTATTAAAGCCAAGGTGATACATGCAAAAGGGTACATTCAAAAGGGTGTGAAACTGTGACAATACCCACAGGGAAGAAAAAATGAATTTTCATGGGAAAGCAGGACATGAATAAACAAAACCATGAAAAGCATGGTCAAAAAGTTCCTTGGGACTGACTACCTCACTCCAGGTAGACAGTCTCAACTTTAGAGAAGAAAATAATTTCTGGGAAGGGGATTAATTGTAGAATGTACTGACATTCAGCTACAGCCTTGACTTTGAGCCCAGTCTGCTATTCAACTTTGGCCCTGGAACGCTGAAAAGGCAAATGCCGACTTCAGCATCATCACAGGCATCCCTGGACCTGTGCGTGGTCTGTGGTCCTGGGCGTGTGTGTGAGTCTGTCCCACTTGATCAGCATCATGACCTCAGACACACAAACAAGCCCTGCCGTCTAGATTTACTACTAACAGCTGACCATGCACTTTAGCTAACAGTGAAGGTTACTTCCTGCATTAAAGTGTCAGACTTTAAAATTTGGCTATTAAGATGTTAAATATTGAGACTGTGATAATAATTTAAAATTCTGATAAATTTTCTAATTTATTCTTATATCCTCGCTCATTCTATGATGGTGATGTTTGGCTTCAGCCTTATATTGATATGTTGATTTATATACTCAGCCATTCAGTCAAAATGTATAGTAGTTCCAACATGAATTAGCACCCTTTAAAACACTCAATTTCATAGGCAACAATGATAAAACAGGTAATTGTGAAATTCCTGAAACTAACCCAGAGCCCTGATATATTCTATTTCCACAAGGATCCAAGCCCAGGAGGAACACATTTTTTTCCCCACCCATACCTGACCTACTATCTATGAATCAGGGGATTTCACTCCTTTAATATCATCAACCATCACTCCCAAAAAACAACTGCTTCCTCCCAGACTATAACCTCCCATTTCCCCTCATATCTCAGTGTGAATAAAAGTCTTTCTTCAGCTCATGAGCTAAGGAAAAACAAATTTTCAAAAATGAATGAAAGAGACCAAGGGCTCTATCCTGATGGTAAATGAAAAGGGAATGTCAAATCATCAAAGGTTCGTGTAGGAAACAGAGGTTGTGTGTCCCCAGAGCCCAGGCAGTAGACAGTAACTCAGTCCAATCGGGTGAGTCATCGGCTTCAACTACAACAACAAAGCCCCTCTGAAAGCAATCACCCACACCCTCACCATGATGAAGCCTTGTCCCCTCTGGGGAAGCTAAGCTTGAACCAGCTTGTGCCTAGGGGCAGCGAACTGCCAAGGATACCGTTATATTTAAGAGTGCTGTTCTCCCAAGCTGTTTAAATAAATGGCGTCATTTGCTAATCTCTAGCTGTGTCTCATGACAAGAGGAATAATTCATTTTATTGAGGTCAGAGCATTGGGTTAATGCAGAGATTTGGTTTAGCAGTTAAGGGTAAGACTATACTACTAAGCTGATATTTTTCCTCCTTTCCTTCCCCAGGGAACGAAGATGAAGTTAACCCTCCCACCTGTCTTTCTCTATGAACACTTGCCTCTTCCAACTGTTTTCTGCCATGGCTAATCAGAAAAAGTTTCTTAAGGAAACGGTGGCAAAAAAAAAAAAAAAAAGACACAAAGGTAACAAAGTTGGACCCATTTATAATGTTCTAGTAAGCGGAAGTACCTAGACACTGACTTGCTAGGATTGAGTCTGTTAGGAGATCTCAAGAAGTCAAGAGACATGAGGAAGGAGGAAAGGCTGAACTTCAGACCTGCGACTGACTTCCCAACCACAGTGAATCAGCCAGTGGCCTAACCACACTTTGTTCAGAGATGTCAAGGAAAAGTGTTCTCTTGGCCAGGTGCCGTGGCTCACAGCTGTAATCTCAGTACTTTGGGAGGACTGCTTGAGGCCAGGAGTTCAAGATAAGCCGGAGCAACACAGTGAGACCCCCATCTCTACAAAAAATAAAAACAAAAATAAGCTAGGCATGGTGATGCATTCCTATAGTCCCAACTACTGGGGAGGCTATACTGAAAGGATTCGCAGGAGTTCAAGGCTGTTGTGGGCTATGATCAGGGTACTGCACTCCAGCCTGGGCAACAGAGCAAGACAGGGCAAGGCAGGGCAGGACAGCACAGGACAGGACAGGATAAGACAAGACAGACAGAAAGGAAAGAAAGTGAGAAAGAGAGAGAGAGAGAGAAAGAAAGAGAGAAAGAGAGAGGGAGAAAGAGAAGAGAGAGAGAGAGAGAGAAAGAGAGAAAGAAAGAAAGAGAAAGAAAGAAAGAAAGAAAGAAAGAAGGAAAGAAAGAAAGAAAAGAAAGAAAGAAAAGAAAAGAAAAGAAAGAAAGAGGAAGGAAGGAAGGAAGAAAGGAAGGAAGTTCCATCATTAAGATAAAATGGTGACCACACAGTTTTAGGCTACTGATCAATTTTGATGGCTGGAAATGTAACAAATAATAGTTTCAAAGAAAGAATCTGTGACTGCATGAGAAGTACTAATACGAGAATGAAATAACCTTATGAAATTCTAGTGTGACATATTACAAAACACTGGAAGAGAAAATAAAGGTTCAAATTAAATAATAAATTTCTTCCTATAATTCCCTTTTCAAAATACCTGACCTCACAGGACTCAGAAGACTTCAACTTGCTAAGCTCCAAGGAAAACGAAAGGCATTCTATTTCTTGTTTGAAATTTCATCCTTGGGATATGCTACACAATTACTAACAGGGAGCAGACATGGAGAAACTCAAACTTCCCATGTTTTTCCAGTCAAATAATAATCTACATCAAAGAAATCCATCCCTTGCCATCTCCCTGAACTCTAAACGTGTTTCAAAGTGCAATACGGAAAAGAAAAATCTGGGCCGGGCACGGTGGCTCATGCCTGTAATCCCAGCACTTTGGGATGTTGAGGCGGGTATATTACCTGAAGTCAGGAGTTTAAGATCAGACTGGCCAAGATGGTGAAACCCTGTCTCTACTAAAAATACAAAAATTAGCCAAGTGTGGTGGTAGGCGCCTGTAATCCCAGCTTCTTGAGAAGCTGAGGCAGGAGAATCACTTGAACCCAGGAGGCGGAGGTTCCAGGGAGCCGAAATCATGCCACTGCACCCCAGCCTGGGAAACAAGAGTGAAACTCTGTCTCCAAAAAAAAGAAAAAGAAAGAAAAAGAAAAACCTGAGAGTTCTCATCTGAAGACCAGAGCAGCAGGCCACCACTCAACAAAAATCTGGAATTCCCCTCTCCATCTTCAGACCTCAGAATCCAGACCCCATGTAACACCTGGCAACTCAGCTCGAGTGGAGAATCACTCTAAACAGTATTCTACCAGAGGCAGGAGAGGGGGTCATAGCATATCCAGGTAGCCACAAGGACAAGAAACACCATTAGTGCAGCAGATGCTCCTCGTGGTTAGATTCCCTCAAGGAGGAAAGAAGAAAGGCTTCCGCAGGATGGTGCTTTCCCAGATCCCCTCAAACTCCTAACCACAGCTTACCTTGGTACAAGGTGGTTGAACTTGTAAGAACTGACGACCTCTTGGATCTTTTCTTCTACTTTTGCCTGGAAAGGATGCAGATAGGAGAGAGAAAACAAATACAGATGAGACCTCCATCAGCTTTTTCTTCCTATTGCCACAAATGCCTATTGGCGAGGGTTGGTTGGTATGGTTTGGAACTTCAGAGTACTGTTAAGACAGGGGTTCTGCAGGATGACAGGCTTAGGACAAGGCAAGAGGGAATCCCCTGTACCATGCTGGCATCACAATGGACTTTTCCAGAAACTGAATCCATAATATCCAAACTAATGGCAGTTTTGGTGTTTGGTTCCCTGGCACTAGTTACTCTGAGAGCAGATGAAGACAGATGTCTCTTGCTTGTGTAGGAGACCATATGCCACCCCGAAATATGCCTCAACGGCATAAGGATTATTTTGAGAAACTGCAGCTACAGGAGAAGCTCTGAAAACAGAGTATACCAGTCTGTGAGGGAAATTGACATCTATAAAGGAAATCTCCATTTGTGAGAGTGTTTCCCTCTCTGTACCAAAAGAGAAGGATGACTAAATCAGAGGAAACTATTATCAATGGAGAAGGCACCTACTGAAATCTGCAAAACAAACCTTACTCTTATTTACCATACTTGTCCTGTTCACCTCCCCATAACTGGCTTCCCCCACAAACTTCTCTGTTTTTAGTTGAAAATGCTATATAAGCTGGAGTTCTAGATCACCTCTTTCAGAATTACTCATTTTCACCTGGGTATCTCCTATGTGTACATGAAGTATACATGTTAACAAACTTCTGCTTGTTTTTCTTTTGTTACCCTGTTGTTTTGTTATAGAGGTTCCAGCCCAGAAATTAGAAGGGTAAAGGGAAAATGATTTTTTTTCCTCCCCTCCACTTCAAATATGTATTCTTCCTGCTCTATGAAGTTGTTTGGATGTTCATTAACTCACCACTCTCAAATACATAATTAGTTTCTGCCAACAGTCATGCTTCTTATTGTAAAACTGAACAGTTAAAATATTAAAATCATTTGGGAGATTTATAACATCAATTATTCCGAAACACCAAAACAAATAGCAAATTCTGGTCCTACGTCATGCACAGGACTCCACAGTCCCATAAAATGAAGGATCTCAGAAAGTCAGGTCACAAAAGAAATCAGATCTTTCTCTTCTGAAGACCACACCACAATGCTAAAACCAACCCACATGGTTGACAAAAATTGCAGGCTGGGTTCTGGACAGAAATACAGTTACAATTAAGCATGAATCAGGCTGCACTTCAGCCCACTTCCTGGTTGCTAAAAGTCTGACCAGTTGTATCCCATCATTCCTATAGAGCCAGGATCTCTGACATTAGAATCATAAGACTTTTGTTGCCAGGCGCGGTGGCTCAAGCCTGTAATCCCAGCACTTTGGGAGGCCGAGACGGGCGGATCATGAGGTCAGGAGATCGAGACCATCCTGGCTAACACGATGAAACCCCGTCTCTACTAAAAATACAAAAAACTAGCCGGGCGAGGTGGCAGGCGCCTGTAGTCCCAGCTACTCCGGAGGCTGAGGCAGGAGAATGGCGTGAATCCGGGAGGCGGAACTTGCAGTGAGCTGAGATCCGGCCACTGCACTCCAGCCTGGGCTACAGAGTGAGACTCTGTCTCACTTTTGTTTAAGGATCATCTAAGATGTTTTTCAGACTTTGAAGTCCAGCAATCAGTTTGAAAACCCCCACAGAGGAACAGAATCTGCCTGAGAATACAGCTTCCTTATCTCCCTGTCAATGACTTCACCCTACATTTTTCAACCAATCAACAAACTCCACACTCCACACTTCAGCCTACTCCAAAACCCTTAAAAGCCCTAACCCCAAATTACTCAAAGAAGAGTTTGAGGATTCTTCCCATCTCCTCATGAGGTGACCCTATGACTAAACCTCCTTCTCTGCTGCAACCCCCATCTTTTTTTTTTTTTTTTTGAGACGGAGTCTCTGTCACCCAGGCTGGAGTACAGTGGCGCGATCTTGGCTCACAGCAACCTCCGCCTCTCGGTTTCAAGAGATTGTCCTGCCTCAGCCTCCCAAGTAGCTAGGATAACAGGTGCCCACCACCCCGCCCAGCTAATTTTTGTATTTTTAGTAGAGGCAGGCTTTCACCGTGTTGGCCAGGCTGGTCTCCAACTCCTGACGTCAGGTGATCCACCCACCTCGGCCTCCCAAAGTGCTGGGATTACAGGCATGAGCCACCACGCCCAGCCAACCCCTTGGTGTACTGACTTGCTGAGTGGTTTAGGCAACGGTTGTGGTCACAATGTGGTCTCATGGGAGAGCTCCTGTATACAAGGTATAGTAATGAGGGAGGGTCTGGTTAATAGGACTGGGATTCACCTTCCTTGGCATTCCTAGTCTTTGTAGTGAGACATGTTTTTGTTGAGATTTCAAGATACATAAAAATCTCCCTGGGAAACTTCAAAAATGAGTCATTTATTTCTGAAACACCCATTGAGGTAGAGCTCCTAGTCCCTTTGAGAAGCATGCAAGAATTATCTGTGATGATGAGGGGAGCAGTGATATGAATCATCTAAAATAGCAGCCAATCTAAAATTAATTTACATCTGGTTTTAGAACATGCTTTGATATTTGCTTCTGAACATGAATTTGAGGGATGATCTGTTTAAAAGGTTACAATACTTCAAAAACAGACTGACGTCACCATGAGCATCTGACTTGGGAGAAATAAGAAAGTTGTCCCAGAATCATCATAATTCTTTTTCCATTCCCGACACTCATGCAGCTAAAATAAAGCACCAGCCTAAATGAAACACAGACTGCATTTCTCAGTCATGCCTATAAGCTGAATGAGATAGAAAAATATACAAGAAATTGCTAAGATCATTAAAGATTTGCCTGTGATATACATCATCCCTCAATATCCATGGGGGATTGGTTCCAGGATCTCCCAGGATACCAAAATCTGTGGATGCTCAAGTCCTTGATATAAAATACTGGAGTATTTGCACAAAACCTATACCACCCTCCCATATAATCACAAATAGCTTAACTACAGGGATTCATTCTGAGAGACGCCTTCTTAGGTGATTTCATCATGGTGTGAACATCAGAGTATACTCACACCAACCTGGGTGCTACAGCCTACCACACACGTAGGCTGTATAGTGTGGCCTATTGCTCCTGGGCCACAGACCTGTACAGCATATTACTGCATTGAATACTGTTGGCAAATGTAACACAATAGTAAGCACCTGTCTATCTAAAAGTATCTAAACATAAAAAAGGTAGAGTGAAAATACAGTACTATCATCTTTCCAGACCACTGTGGTATATGTAGTCTGTTGATTGTTATATGGCACACGCCTGTATTTTAAATCATCTCTAGATTACTTATAAAACCTCCTAGTACGATATAACTGCAATTGAGAAAAGAATAGCTCAGAGCAGTCTGAGTTATGTGAGGTATGCAAAATTTATCAGGCCCAGAGAGACCGAGTATAGGACTTCATTTATGCTCCCAACACCCATGTCCGGGGGCAGTTGTTTAAAGGCATTTCATTCCTCCCTAGCTGCCTCATCCATGTTTCTGGAATTTGTGATACAAAGAATAATGTATACCTTATGTAATTTTAATGTAAAGTCTTGGTAAACAATTTAGGAATAGCCTCTTCTTTTCCTTTATTTATTTTTCTTTCAGTCAGCTTTTTGGGTAACTATTCTTTTTTTCTTTTTTTTGAGACAGAGTCTTGTTCTGCCAGGCTGGAGTGCAGTGGCGCCATCTCAGCTCACTGCAACCTCCACCTTTAGGGTTCAAGTGATTCTCCTGCCTCAGCCTCCAGAGTAGCTGGGACTACAGGCGCATGCCACCATGCCCGGCGATTTTTTTTTTAAATTTTTTGTAAAGACGGGGTTTCACCATGTTAGCCAGGATGGTCTCGATCTCCTGACCTTGTGATCCACCGGTCTCCGTCTCCCAAAGTGCTGGGATTACAGGCATGACCCACAGCACCTGGCCCTGGCTATTCTTGTCCTTTAAAAACCTACTTGTAACTGTTGCTAATTAAGAGTGTATAATCAGGGCAACTTGAATCTATGCTCTTGGGTTGCAATCTTCAAGCTTGGCCCAAATAAACTTTCTACTTACATTAACTTTGCCTCAGCTTCTTCCTTTTAGGTTAACATAATAACGAGAAAATAAGTCTGCACTTATTCAGTACAGACACAATTTTTTTTTCCAAATATTTTTGATCTGTAGTTGGCTGAATCCACAGATGGAGAACCCACGGATATGGAGGACCAACTGTACTGTTTCATCTAAGTGAGTTAATGAATTCTGAATGACACAAAATCAAGTGGGAAGAAAATTCACTTACTTTATCCCAATACAAGCCTATTAAAATCCATATGACTTAATAATATTCAAAGGCTAATGCATGAACCCACCTTCCCCTTAGCATTCTGGCACTTAAGATGCCTAGGCAGGAAAGCTCCCAGCCAGGAACTCCTTAATCAGAAGTCCCATCTTCAGCTTTCTTGCGGGAAAGCAGCCAAGTACTACGCAAGAAAAATGGAGGTTTATTTCTAAGCTAAGACACCTGACAAAAACATAGAAATATGTCATACTGAAAGGTGGAAAATGCTTAAAATTTTCCCAACATAGTGTCCTTTTCTTTGGCGTTCCTAATCATTTCTTCAGAATGAACAAGTGATTTTCCAATGCAGTTAGTAACTGACTCATATCTGAAAAATCAAGTTATGAATTCTGATGACTGTGTATTACAGGTCAACTGTTCATAACAATGAATAATTGTCTCTTAAGAACTGGTAATATTCTGGTATATTTCTCTTTTTTTTTCTTAACAGGTCCCATGGAGAACTAAGAACTAGTGTATTTTTTAACAGCTTTATTGAGATATAATTCATATACCATTCAACTCACTCATTTAAACTGCACAAATCAATGACTTCTAGCATATTCATAGATTTGTGCATCCATTACCATCAATTATAGAACATTTCACTTCCCCGAAAAGTAACCCCACACCTCTTAAGC